CTTTTTCTAACTGATTTACTTTCTTTGTTTCCCGTTTATTGCTTACAAGTCTATTCTGCCTTCTTTCTTTTTTTTTCTTCTTTCTTTTTTTTTTTTTTTCTTTTTTTTCTTTCTTTCTTTCTTTGTACTTTTTCTAACTGATTTACTTTCTTTGTTTCCCCGTTTATTGCTTACAAGTCTATTCTTCCTTCTTTCTTTTTTTCTTTCTTTCTTTCTTTCTTTCTTTCTTTCTTTCTTTGTACTTTTTCTAACTGATTTACTTTCTTTGTTTCCCCGTTTATTGCTTACAAGTCTATTCTTCCTTCTTTCTTTTTTTCTTTCTTTTTCTTTCTTTCTTTCTTTCTTTCTTTCTTTCTTTCTTTCTTTCTTTCTTTCTTTCTTTCTTTCTTTCTTTCTTTGTACTTTTTCTTACTGATTTACTTTCTTTTTTTCCCCGTTTATTGTTTACAAGTCTATTCTTCTTTCTTTCTTTCTTTCTTTCTTTCTTTCTAGCCAAATCCCTGGCTCAAGAAGATTTTAAAATAATTCAGCAGACAATGTTATTTTAATTATGGTAACTGGATTTTTGGCGATTGGCTTAGTCTCTTACCGTCGTTCCATACTGTACGTCAGAAAAAATGGCACTTTTATTACAGGGTCGTCTCAGTGATATCTGTGTCTTCGGACAGAGCTCAACTAAAAATGTTATTGAGAGGTGCCCGGTCACCTGAGAGAGTTGCAATACCTCTCTAATTGAAACAGTTGCCATACCTCTCTAATTGAACTAGCAATTCAGATACCAGCGCTGCTGGCAGTTGCGAAAGCTGAACTCTTTTGGGACCTGGCCCGGGTGTACGCGCTTTGGTTCCCAACATTAAACTGACCTTTTGTCACACGTTGCCAACCTGGGCCGGCAAGAAGGTACAATCATTACTCGGTCTTTTGGCCGAGATCAAAGTGTAGTATCAGTTCTTATCAGCTTAATCTGATTCTCTAGCTCCACTTCTTTCTTTCTTTCTCTCTTTCTTTCTTTCTTTCTTTTTCTCATTGAAACCAAGTAGCGCCTTCTCCACTATTTCCACGCAATCAAAACGGATTAATCTATTTTTTAGGTATTGGCAAGGCGTAACGGTAGTTCAACCTAACGAAAGGGGATGAGCACAGTTATAATAGGATATTAATTACATTATTAAAACAATTCAACACGAACATCATTTACTCATTTTGTCTATTAGACATTAAATTACTTCGCTTAGCATCTTCTATAAATTTCCTAGACTTTTCAGTCAGTCTGATGAATATTTATGAGCGTTTCTTTAATTTTAAAATTTGTCTATTAGACATTAAAAATATTAAATTTTTTAGACATTAAAATATTATTACTGCATTTAGCATCTTCCATAAATTATCTAGACTTTTCAGTCAGTCTGAGGAATATTTATGAGCGTTTCTTTAAAATAAAAGAATTCGAAAACTAACATCAGTTTTACTTTTGTTTATATATACTTGTTGCAAAATAAAATCTTTACCTTTCTCATGATAAAGTTTATCAGAGGACGAAACGCGTTGGCTAAGATAACTTTTTATTTTGGTTATCTCCTTGCTATGCGTCTTCCCTCATTATGTGTTATGAAGTAATTCCAGCTGTCTCTTTCAGTATCTGTCTATATTTCTGTGATGATGTATTATGTACACTATTTACACTATTCAGACTATTGTCCTCATTTTTGTCGCCATATTTATTACAACGTTTCGACTGTTGTACGCTCCGGCCTTCTTCAGCTGGTTGGAATGTCGAACTGAACCATTTAGAACACATGGGACAGTTGATGAAGGCGTTAGTTAGATCAAGTGACAGGACCCAATGACTGTGAGTTAAATACCCGATTAAGTCAGTGGAGAAATTGGAGAGAGGAATAAACAGGAGATAACTGACAACTAATATGGCACGTGAAACTAGAACAGTCTACCCCACTGAACGAAATAAAGGGTTCTGTTCGTCATGAAGAATGCCGGAGAGTACAACGGCCGAAACGTTGTAACCAACATGGCGACAAAGAAGAGGACAATAATCCGAATAATGTATATAGTGTCTCTTTCATTTGCTAAATATAAACATCGATTTGGGCGCCTAGAGGCGGTGTAATGGTTAGCTAGCTTGTCTTGCTAGAACAATTACGATTGAATAGTTAGTTCGATCCTCACTGGGTGCCCCATACTTTCGGCCTTGTGCCACATCTAAGCTACGCTTGGAAAATCGCTATAAACGTTGATTGGTTTCCATTTTCTTCAAAACTTCCCCGTTACTCACAGCTTCGGTAAAAGGCATTCTCAACTTACTTTTGTATAACTGTATTTCTGATGCGTCACATCACTTCTTCATCTATGAAGAGATTGTCCTGCATTTATTTTCATATAAACTGATATTACATAGCAGTTCAGCACTAAATAAACCCGGTAAAAATATATATCTGTTAAAGTTCTTTTTTATGTATTCACATCATCGTTTTGGACTGTCTGTTTAGAGAAAAACTTCTGCTTATGCTTATGGTAGAAGCTTTCCCGCGGTTGTAGATTCGAAGCAACACTTGAAATGAACACTTTTCGAAAGTACGGAATCCAGAAAGTAGATAACAGTAGACAGATACTGGGTGTGCCGTCTTCGATACCGACGTGTGTCTACTGGTTCAATCTTGCTTCATTGGTTTGAACAGCGTATAAAAAAGATACGCCGCCAAGTGGCTCAATCCCCAGACAGTATTTATGCAATTCGTTGTCATTTCGAATACTAGCAATGTATTTCAAATTGCAATTAGTCGTATATCCTTTCCATATAGATCATTCTTTATTAACATTCTAGAAGTCTTAAAGTTCCATACCCTTCCTATCTGGTAAACAAGAAAGCTTTTTTTTCATAAACAGCAAATGCAATCTATGCTTAAATCATTAATTGATTGATTTATTTCTTTAACGTCATAGTCAACTCCTTTGTGTCATTTAATACCGATGTTTAATTTTCTTGGGTGCTTTGAAGTAATAAAATTACAATATATGTTGTTATGTTTCCCCAGTTGAATACATGGTAGATGATACTCAGCTTTTGTGCATATACATGCTTGTGTGGACGTAATTACTAGCAGCAGTGTGTATTTTATGTTGTACAGTTGTTGAAGTTATATTTTGGAATACAGTTTGATTTCTTTAAGTGATTGTAGGATGTTATATGGACTAATGTCAGGTAAGAGATATTCATGAGGGTTGTTTGATTTTGTTTCGTGGCATATCAAACCACCCAAAATCACACCCCAAAATCTAAATATTTTATATATATATATATATATATATATATATATATATATATATATATGTGTGTGTGTGTGTGTGTGTGTATATATATATATATATATATATATATATATATATATATATATATATATATATGCATTCAACTACATATATTTTTGCGTAATTCAAGGTATGTTTATATATATATATATATATATATATATATATATATATATATATATATATATATTAATTTGGTTTGGTTTGTTATACGGCATATCAATCTCAATGGGTTATTTAAGGCCGACACGAATTTTATTGTTGGTAATTTTTTTTTTTTTCAAAAATGTATTGCTGGTATTTTTTTTTAAAACTGTATAGCTGGTAATTTTAAAAAATATTATTGCTAAAAACCTATGGCTGGTAATAATTTTTCTTCAAAGATATATTGCTGGTAATAATATTTTACAAATATTTCTGGTATTAAAAACTATTTTTACACTTTCTAAGTGTTTTGACTCAAGTTTGGGGATTAACTATTTACCCATAGCTGGGATCCCTAACAGGTGCTACCACCCCGACTCAGAGTAGACCTGGGAACACCAGCAATTAAGTGGTCGTTCCACGCTCCTCAAAATCTTCTGACCAGATGCCTCAAACAATCTATCCCATGAACAATCTGTCCAACGAAATATCTAGCCAGTGAACAAACTAGCCATTAATCTATCCAACGAACATTCTAGCCAGAGAACAATTTATCCAACGAACAAACTAGTCACAGGCTGTTGAACGTAGTTTATCGTCTTACCCAGGACGTGGATGTAGTTTATCGCCATACACGGACGGTATATATTTTTGTAGTTAATAACATATACTGTTAGTAATTTTAAGAGAAAATGCATTTTTATACATTTTAGTTTTTCATTTATTGTCATTTTGTTATAAAAGTGCATTGTTAGTCATTTTATTGTAAAAATGTACTGTTGATTTTGTTTGGGGTTTCACTATCTGCCTATAGTTGGGACCCTAACAGGTGCTACAACCCCGGGTCAGGTTGGTTCTGGTAACAACAGCAGTTGGTTCACGTTCCTCAAAACCTCCCATGTCCCTATCTTGCTGGATATAGTTTTTCGTCATGCCCATGTTGAAGAGATTATTAACTAATAATGATAAAATTAATTTAGTGAATTGGACTCTCACCGTTGAACTTGCTCTTGTGCCGTACTTACAAAAAATAGTAGTACAATACTGGCACTAGTAATGGGCTGTTTACATTTTAATTCATTTTTTTGTTTTTGCTGGGGAATAAAAGGACTAGATTGATTACGCACGTGGCAATTAGTTCAAGGATGGACTGTCTACCGGTGTTGTTCGTTTTCTTTTCATTACCGATTTCGTTTTTTTTTTTTTTTTTTTTGTGTTTTCTTTAATTAGCCGAATGGAGAAAACATAAATTAGGATAAAGATTAGTGAAGTTAAAACTTGGGGATTAACAAGTGATTAATTGCAATTTTTTATTTTCTTATTTTCGCTAGAGTTTATTCTCTCTGTCGATAAATTATTTTCCTTTCTTTTCTGAGATGAAATTTTTATAAATTTTTATTTTTATTTTTGCATTCGAGATCTTGGGACGGTTTTTCGGACTTAAACATCTGCCATTTTCTTTCTTAATTTTCAATTTGTTTCTTTCGCTTCTCTATCATTAGGTGTTTATACTCTTTTACTTTCTTTTTCTTATGGGAATAATCGATCGAAATTCAGACTTTTCATCCCTTCGATTCTCTGTTTTTAGTGCGTCTCTAAACATTAATAACTTTCTCGTGTCCCTTTCTTTATTGCTTTTTCATTCATCAGTAAATATTTTAAACTTTTTCTAATTCTTTTTTTTAATTTCTTTAATTGTTACTTTATTTATTCCAGTCTTTCAGCCTTCTATATTTCATTCTTTCTTTCTCTTTGTTATTTCATTCGTCATTTTAAATTCGTCTTTACAGATTAATACGTTTTTAACTCCTTTAAGCTTTCTTTGTTTCTTTTTTTCATTTTTTTTATTTTTAAATATTTTATGTTAATTTATTTCATCGTTACATTCGTTCTTGCTGTTTCTCTTTATTTTTAATTCTTTCCTTTAAATTCCTCTGCAAATATCAACTCCTCTTCTTGTTCTCTTTATTTTCATTCATTTTTGATTCTTTTGTTCTTTCATACATTGTAATATCTGCATTGATAGATCGTCAGTAAAACACCTCTCTTAATCCTTTTGTTTTCTGTCTTTCTTTTCTTCTGTCTTTCTTTTATTTTCTCTTTCTTTTCTCTTTCTTTTCTCTTTCTTTTATTCTTTGGTTCTTTTTTTCTATCTTTCGTTTATATTTCTTTCTTCTCTTCTTTCTTTCTTGTCTTCTAGCCTTCGTTTCTTCTTTCTCTTCTTCTTTCTTTCTTTTCAAATAATTTTCTTTCTCTTTTTTCTTCTATCATTCTTTTCTTTTATATTTAGCGTATTCTTTCTTTCTTTTCTTCTATCTTTCTTTTCTTTTTCTTTTCTTCTATCTATCCTTCCATCTTTCTTTTCATCTTTCTTTCTTTTCGTATATCATTTTTTTTTCTGTCTTCCTTTTCTTCTATCTTTTGTCCTATCTTATTTTTCTTCTTTCTTACTTTTCTTCCTTTGGAATTCATTAGTAAATGTTAAGATTTCTTTCATTCTCTTTATTTTTTTTGCTTCATTCTTTTTCAGTAATATGATCAATTACCACATTTTAACACCCTCTATATTTTCTTCGACCCCCTTTCTTCTTTAGTTCTTACTTTATTTCGATGGAATAAGTCAGTGAATTTATATTTTTATATATATTTTTTTACTTTGATTGGCTTATTTCTTTCATTCATTCTCATCCCTTTCTCTCTTTTAATTTTTTCTCTCTCTTTCGCTTGTGTAATTTTGGTTTAATTTACTCATTTTTTTTATTTTATTTACTTATTCTTAATTTGTTAGTTTCACTTTCACTTTCACTTTCACTTTATTTTCATTTTTGTTTTATGATGGACCTTTATTTCGTTTTTTGTTTCAACTACATTCTTTCTTTCTTTCTATTTATCTTTCTTTATTTTAATCATTCAATTCTTTCTTTCTTTTTCTTTATTTCGTTCTTTCATTTAGTTTTTTAATCAGTTCTTTTCAACTTGTTTGTTTTCTTTCTTTCTTTCTTTCTTTCTTTTTTTCTTTCTATGATTCACTTTGATTTCTTAATACTACTGCAGTTCTTTCTTTCATTTTCCCTATTATTTTCTTTCCTCATGTCCAGCTCTCCTCCACTTTCTCTATTTTCTAATTTATGTAGTAATATTCCCTCTTTTTATTTTTGTCATATCTTTCTTTAGTCACCCGTCTACGCCGGCGAGAAAATTTATCAGCTTTTTTTTTCCTTTTGCACGTCTTCTCAGAAAACAACAGAAAAAAAAAACACAAAGAGGAAAGTCCATAAAGAATTTTTTTCATTCCTTCTTCCTTTAGCACACAACTAATCATGCCAATTACTCTGTCGGCGTTTATGGCACTTTAGGATTACAGATTTAGTAACATTGTTGAAAATGGGTGCTTCAAAAACACAGAACAAAAAACGTATAATTAAACATACCTTATTGTATGCCAGGAAATGTTTTATGGCACCAATCGATCGATTAGAAAAAAAAATGAGGATTTATTCTAACAAAGAACTTCAAAATTACCGTTTCTAAACTTATTCCTCCTTAAGTGATATGTCAGTTCCGTACGATTGCAAACATGACTCACCCCCACTTCCTTTTTATAATGTATAACACAGGCCTTCTTTTTGGGGGTCAATATATAAGGCGGACATCTTTGTCTATATCTTTATTGGTATACTAACACCCATACCCAACCGGTCGATCACAAAAAGCGTTCAATTAGAAAGGAGCAAAAACAGCATCATGTTTAGATGTAACAGAGTCTATCTTCTTCAATTACTTTAAAGTACTTTCATTAAAAACATTTTGAATTAATGCAGTTACTAATATAAAAAAAAGTAGTCTGTATTTATTCAATCGAAGTTGGTCGACGACATGAAGTGGTAAAAGAGGCACCATGAAGACCCACTTCAGAGCACAATTATTTTGGAGGTTTTGAAATTCAATTTCTCAGTGTGCTGCCAGGGATGTAAAAGTGGATACATTAATAAAGCAATTGTTGAGTTTGATGAAAATTGGTTGAAAGATCAACGAAAAATAAGAAAGAAACCAGTAAAGATTGCCATTTTTCGCTATTTACGCGGCTTTCACTATATGGGTGGGTTTACTTATCAAGTTAAATGACTATTAAACAATCTACTTATTGTTGGCTACAATTGATTGAAGTTTGTATTTAGATTGCTTGAAAATTGAGGGAGTTTTTAATTTAAAATTTGTGTTGAAATTGATTTGTGTTGAAATCGATTTTCCGTTTTTCACGGTTTATTTTCTAAACGCTGTGACATACAAATAAAAATGAGATGTCGCTGAGCTCGTCATGATGTAAGCAAACTACATAGCGAATTTGAAAGTGATCGGAGGAAAAAAAGTTGAATTTATCGATTTTTGATCGGCTTTATCGATTATTGATTTTTTTTAAAAATTATCGATTTTCTACACAAATAACCTATCACTTAGATTTGCAATGTATATGTCAAGTTTGTTCAAAATCGGTTGGACGGATTTCAAGTGAAATAATATCTCACAGAAAGACAAACATACTCTGTTTTATATATATATATATATATATATATATATATATATATATATATATATATATATATATATATATATATATATATATATATATATATATATTATTTATTTGACTCTCCTGTCGATTTCGAGGTATGAGTGTCAAGCAGATCCTAGGAAATCGACAGCCCGACAACAGCACATGAGATTTGATTATAGTGGCGAAGGTTTCGTGCAGGACCAGCCGCACTTTTTGAAGGAGGCGCGGAGTAATGGATAGCGGCTTGGATTAAGGAATCGGAGAGCCCGGTTCGAATTTCAGTCGAATCCGTTACATTCACTTACGTGCTAATAGCTTTGGGAAAGGTGTGTATCCTCTCCTTCTCCCTTCAGCTATGAGTAAATAGCAGGACAGACTGGGAATGCTTGGATGGTAGCTGGACTAGGAGGAAGGACAACTGTGAATTCAAAACCTGCGGAGGGTCGTTTGGGGACCTTGTGGAACATAGTGCACCAGGTCTCTGTATTCGGCCCTTCAAAAGTGTATATATATATATATATATATATATATATATATATATATAACAGTGAACATAGAAGTCAACACTTAGAGGCGACAGTCTGTTTCATGCTATATGCAATCGTCAGGCCACATATCCTTTGCATTGCATATAGCATGAAACAGACTGTTATTTGTTAATAATAATAACAGCGATCATAATTATAGTAATAACAATCAAGGTAATAATAATAATAATAATAGTGATGATAATTATAGTAATAACAATGAAGGTAATAATAATAAAAATAATACTAATAATAATAATAATGATAATAATAATAATAATAATAATAGTGATGATAATTATAGTAATAACAATGAAGGTAATAATTATAAAAATAATAATAATAATAATAATAATAATAATAATAATAATAAGTATACTAATTGATAGGTAATAATAATAATAATAATATAGCAAACCAAGGAATTTGATAAACCTATAAAAATACAAAGAGAAATTAAATACAAAAATGACAGAATTGAAAAAAGAATAATGGCTCTGAAATCGTTATTAAATTATAAAAAAATGAACAAAAAAATTGAAAAAATCCTCCTGCAAACTGCAATGTATCTTGGAACATCTTCAAAGAGCTATCAAAATACAAGGACCATAAAATCGAAATCTCAAACATGTGGCACATGTGAAAATGAAAAATGCTTATTGGAGATAAAAAAAAAAAAAAAAAAACCAATAGACTCATTGAAGGTATTCTTAGTATCCCATGTCTTAAAGAAATACAAAAGATTGTTCTCACGAGAACAGCCCACACCTTACGAAGGACTTTATCAATGTAAAATATGTTTGTTTTTTTTTTGTTTTGTTTTTTTAAAAGATTTTAGTTTTTTAATTAGTAAGTGCAAAATGTCATAATACCAGTACCCAAATTAGGTCTCTCTGCGGACCCGGAAAGAAATATGTACGCATCGAAAATCAAAGATATAATAATAATAATAACAGACATAAAATAGTAATAATAATAATAATAATAATAATAGTAGATTCGTTAGTAAATCCGCAAAAAGCCAAGAACCAACTATTGCAAAAAAAGATATGAAAAAAAAGCAATGATAAAGCCCTTGAACAGATGAAACAACTATCAAAAGACAAACCTAAAATGAAATATCAAACGTGCAAATGTGAAAATGTTGATAAAGTTAATATTCATCGATGGTTGGAGCATCTGGATTAAAGTCTGAAACTGAAGACTTTATTCTTGCAGCGCAAGACCCCATGTCTTAAAGGAATTTTCAAAAAATATGTTCTAATAATGTGGATCCAAAATGCAGGTTCGAAGGACAAATACCAAGAAACAATAGACCATTTAATCTCAGGATGTTTCTATACTAAAAGAAATGAATATAAAATCGTCACGATAAATGTCATAATACTTACACTGGACAATTAGCAAACACTTTGGAAAATGTGAAAGCAAACACTGTATGAACATCGGCCAGCGCCGGAAACAGAAATAGAAGATGTCACCATTCTATGGGATTATACCATCCACACAGAAGAAAAATTGAAGCAAATAATAAAATAAATAATAATAAAAAACCAGAAAGAAAAAATATTCAATAATAAAAGATATGGCAAAAATACATTGTAACATTTACATTTAGTAGATTTTGAAAAACTATCAAAATACAAAGAACTGGAAATTGAAATAGAAAAAAAGATATGAAAACAAAATAATACCAAGTGGTAATAGGTGCCCTTGAAATTGAAAAAATGGAACAAAACAAACATTGAAAGAATCCCTGAATCCAGAACGTTAAAAGACATACAGAAAAATTGTTAAGTACAGTTAACACACTAAGGAGAACTTTGTTTATGTAACGCTAGCAACTTCATCGGAGATAAAAAAAAAAAAAAAAAAAAAAAAAAAAAAATTAACATGAAATGTATTATAACAACACACCACGACCTGCCTTGGGTCTTTCCGCAGACTTAGTAGGTAGTGTGTCCATAGCAGAAAAATAATAATAATAATAATAATATAATAATAATAATAATGTAAGAAGACATTGAAACTGACGATGGATATTTAAGTCATAAGTTCCAAAAGGAAACAACAAGCTTACTATCTAGCAATGTTGTGTAAATATAAGACAGAATTGTCTATCGGTGTAGTAAAAAAAAGATTGCTACGACCTACAAAGGATAGGAAATTTTGGAGAGTCTACTACGTCTACGCCCTGAAGGGACATAGAAGGAACATAAAAAGGACATAGAAGGAACATAGAAGGTGTATAGAAGCAACATAGAAGGCACAGAGAAGGATAGTATTAGGGGCGTAGAAGGGCGTAGAAGGGTAAAGAAGGAACATAAAATTAACGCATAGAAGGAACATAAAAGGTAATGAACGTAGAAGGGTAATAGAAGGAACATAGAAGAGATAGAAAAGTAACGTAGAAGCGGCATAGAAGGAACATAAAAGGGACATACAATGAACGTAGAAGGGTAATAGAAGGAACATAGAAGAGACAGAAAAGTAACGTAGAAGGGGCATAGAAGGGACATAAAAGGGACATACAATGAACGTAGAAGGGTAATAGAAGGAACATAGAAGGGACAGAGAAGGAACTTAGAAGGGGAATAGAAGGAATATAGAAGTAAGATAGAAGAGACATAGAAGGAACGTAGAAGGAATATAGAAAGGGGCATTGAAATAACATCGAAGGGACAGGGAAGAAACTTAGAACGGGTATAGAAGGAACATAGAATGGGCAGAGATGGAACGTAGAATGGGCATAGAAGAAACATAAAAGGGACATACAATGAACGTAGAAGGGTAATAGAAGGAACATAGAAGGGGTATAGAAGGAAAATTGAAGTATACACAACCAGTGATATTGCCGATTCATTAACTAACATTTTTCTCTCATTGATAGTGCTTTCATTTATTTAACTTTAGTAGCAAAACACCCGAGGACAAGACGGAGTGAATTAATTTTTAATTTAATTAACTAATGAATTAGTGACGAGAAAAAAATAGGTGATGCGTAAAATAGGGAAAAAGTAAAATGCTAAGGCGAAAAAGTGAAATGATTTGAATCGTCAACACAATGGAAGAAAATGATAGAAACTATGAAG